TAATGTCTTACAGTCATATTCATTTTAATGGTCTGTGTCAACAACACAAGGTTGTTTCCCAAATAAATGTCAGACTATTCGTCTGGGATACAGAATTTATCTATAATACATAAGTTTGATAATTGAATTCGATGCAACAGAATGTCATGTTATCAAGAATAATGTGCACGCTGTTAATGGTATGTTAAAATAATGATCAAATATGAAATTATTCACTCGTAAAATAGGATTTTGATCAATTTTATATAAAATCAATTGATATCATTAATGTTGAAATCTTCTTTTGTGGATGGTGTAGCATCATCAGTACAAATACCTGGTACTGACTCCAATCAATTATCGTTGATTTCCCTCCACCATTTTTAATTTCTAGTTATTATGTTCAATTTCAGAGGTTTTTAAAAGTCCAGTAATCTCAGTCAGTCTCATTCAGAACAAAAGACCAAAGTTGATGCTTATTTACGTTATTACCTGGTATTACATGCATGGTCCTTGCTAACTGATTAGCACATCATAACATTATGGTCCTTGCTAACTAATTCATGTATGTATGGTCCTTGCTAACTGATTTACAGGTATGGTCCTTGCTAACTGATTTACAGGTCATGTATGTATGGTCCTTGCTAACTAACAGGTCATGCATGTATGGTCCTTGCTAACTGATTAACAGGTCATACATGTATGGTCTTTGCTAATTAATTCATAGTTATGCAGGAAGCATTGTCCTTGCTAAATGATTAACAGGTCATACAGTTATGGTCCTTGCTAATTGATTAGCAATTTATTCATGTATAGTCTTTGCTAAATGATTGCAAGGTCATACATATAACGTTTTTGCCAATTGATTAATACTTATGCAGGACATATTGTCCTTGCTAAATGATTAACAGGTTATACAGTTATGGTCCTTGCTAATTGATTAACAATTCGTGCAGGTTTTGTCCTTGCTAAATGATTGCCAGGTCATACATATAAAGTCCTTGCTAATTGATTAACAGATGATGAAGTTATGATCCTTGCTAATTGATTAGCAGATCACGCAGGCTTGGTTTTTGCTAAATGATTGTCTGGTCATACATATATGGTTCTTGCTAATTGATTCACATGTCATGCAGGTATGGACCTTCAGACAACAATCATGCCAAAATTGACCATATTATGTTTACAACGTAAGGCCAAAGTTCTTAGCACTGAACTGATTTAAAAGACAGAATGCATGCACTCTAGTTCCATGTCAGTTATGAAATTTAAATTCACAAACCTGTGAATAAAGATCCAAGGGAAGCCTTGTGCATTTGCTTTATCTCTGTTTTGATGAGAAAATTTGATACCTTATTTCACTGAACCAATCTGCAGGTTTTGAAACACCTGTATGTCATCGTGTTCCATAATGTGGGGCTTGTTTTGCTTGTCAGAAAATAAGAACTATATCCAACTCATCTGAAATCATGTTTTTAATGTCATATGCAGATATACTTTTGCTTTTGAGTGGTTGTGAAGTCTTTGTTTATGTTGCCAGCTTTAGACACATTTCTTATTTCCATGCGCAAGGCTGAAAATGAACATGATTGTGGATTAGATATCCTCGCAGAACTTGAGTCACGTTATGCAGGGGAGTGACGTGTAATTAAACGTTATAATAAAAATGAAAGGTGACGTCGTTTAGTTCAGGATTTTAGTAGAATTCAGTTGCAGGGACAAATCTGTAGGATATATGCTTGGCGCTGTATAGGAGGGCTGTTTGTCACCCCTACTATCCTGCAAAATAGCATTTGCTGCTAAAGTTTTCCAAAACTTAGAGGCATATAATTTAAAAAAATGGTGGACAAGATTGTAGCAAACTAAATATGTTAAAGTCTATGTAGTATATGCCTGTCAAAATTTAGACGGTGAGCAGTTGTTTTAAATGTTTAGCTAACTTTCACCTTTAATTTCTACATCTCCACTAGTAGTGACGTTGTTTCCTGTGGAGTGTTTTCTTCCCAATCGCATGTGCCTAAAACTTGTCAGGACTGGCTTTCATTTCATTGGTCGTAAATCGCTCGGTATATTTACTTTTCACTTCTTTGCGTGCATTTTAAATCATTAATATTGTAATAACTCGATGCGAAGTTTAGACCACAGAGTTTTTATATAATTTATATCAACAAAATATATGTCAAGGGTTCATAAATAGATAAAAAGATACTTGGAAATCTCGTTGTATAATATTCAATAATTTAGTTTTATATGATAAACTGCGTCATGTTGCTCGTGTAATTTCCAATTATAATTATTTGATGAAAAACCAAGGCAGCAGTGTTATGTTTATCTATGTTGTGTCTTTAACTTTTATAAGTTATTGTACGTATTGCTTTAAGATAATGGTCATATCTCGATATAAATTTAAAATTCCTAGCATTTTCCGTGATAATAGAATTAGGATTTTGAGATTTCTTGCACTCATAAGCACATATCCCCCAATCCCCCCACAGACATATATATATATATATATATATATATATATATATATATATATATATATATATATATATATATATATATATATATATATATATATATATATATATATATATATATATATATATATATGTAACAATGACATTTTACTAATTGTTTACTTTAAGCAATCTTAAAAATAAGGATCACTTGGAAAATAAACGAACTTAGCATTATTACAACCTCTGATCTGAGAGTAGAAATGAGATTTTGTACATGTCTTCTTGATGGTGATGGGTATATATCGGGCAGAAATGGAACAGCAGAGAGAGAGAGAGAGAGAGAGAGAGAGAGAGAGAGAGAGAGAGAGAGAGAGAGATTGATTGATTGATTGATTGATTGATTGTCATATTTCTTTTGGTAATGTTAAAATAGCATGAAATCTGCTGGACACAATTTGTCGGACTAAACCGTGTAATATAAATATCGGTGTTTGAAAGTACGTAATCAAATATGTACGTTAACGTTTGTTTCATATTGCAATTCATCACATACATTAACACTGTTTGGACAATTGATACTTGTCAAAAAGTACAGACGTTTTATTCAAACTTCTAGAGGCATCTGCTTGAAATACTTATCGATAAAGATGCTTTGACTCACAAGATTGTAATCTGTTTGACAAAGTGGTGATAACTTAGCTAGAAGCGAATTGTTTAGTTTGAGATGACTGAACTAATAGTCATAGGATTGAAAATGTATACTAATAAGCCTTAGGATTGAAAATGTATGTTAATATGCCTTAGGATTGAAAATGTATGTTAATATAAACTGCTGATAACATGCATTACCATACTTCCTTTGTAAAGACAGTTAACATATTTTGAAAACAGCTCAATGCGGATTTTTACACCAACGTTTAAAATACGTTGAGAATACACTGGTCACTTGGACTTCACACCTATAATTATAACAAGATAATTGTTCAATACGAATTTTGGCATAAATTAGACTACTTTATCCGTTAGTTAAGTATACAGTTCGTCATTGCGATTATTGATTCTTTGTACATTTAATATCAACCATTGATTTCAATGACATTATTCTACAAAAGTTGTATCGTTTCACAATTTCTCAAACAGTCATAGCGATTATTGATTCGTTGTGCAAATTATACTATCCATTGACATCTGTGACTATAAAAGTTGTATAGTTTAAAAAACTCCGCGTGAAATATGTATATTAATAGTATACAAAGCTCGGGTTAAATATTTACTTATGGTGATTTACATGGTATACTATATAACGAACTCCTTTGTATGTTTCACTGTGATGAAAAGAACAATACACAAAGCGTTACCGTATATAGTACTGTATTGCTTACTCATCAAACTCGATGCCTTACGGTGAGAAAACATTATTTCAAGTACAAGGATCACATAAATTCTTCAATTGAAACTTATTTACACTGAATATAATAGTGAGGTCAGCCTAGATACTAACGTCAAAGCGAAGTTGATTCACCCACCTCATTTAATAAGGCAAAGTGATGGGAAAAAACTGTAAGAAGAAACTTTGCGGTCAACTTAAGGTAAAATAAGTTTGTCTACAACAGTTATTTTGCTGGCGTGGCAAGTCAGATATAATTAAAATACGACCCTATACTCATTGTGCTCATAAACCTACGAAAACATTGTTTTATTGCCTCTGAAATGCGTGTACACAGCGTCACTCAAATAATTAAATATTAACGTTAGTAATACTCGTAATGAAGCTGTGTTTAACTTTGGTGTTTGAATACGAAAGCAATATAATTTGGAATAGTTGCTAAGTTTACAAACACTCAAACCAACCAATGAACGAAAGATATCGACTCCAAGATTCTAAGTCTAGGTACCCTTAATAGAGATAAAATGGTCAAAGTATAAAAACTGGAGAATAAATGAAATATCAATAATAAGTCTCTCTCTCTCTCTCTGTATATATATATATATATATATATATATATATATATATATATATATATATATATATATATATATATATATATATATATATGCATATATATATATATATATATATATATATATATATATATAAATATATATATATATATATATATATATATATATATATATATATATATATATATATATATATATATATATATATATATATATCCCCTTTCTGTCTCTGCATACAGAGAAGCCCTTTGCAAAGTGTAAACCCTGATAAATCAAGCAAGAAAAGGCCCATGTTCTAATCTTAGTTAAATATCTGAATTTATTTTTCTCATGACTTGTAAGTGTATATATTGTTACAGGGGATGGATCTGTATAGTGTCCAAATCATGATACGGAGTCTAATTCATTGAAGATAGGGATCGATGCCAATGCTGCTATAAGTACATCTTTTTATATTCAGTAAGTTTACATGTGGTTTTGTCTTAGATATCTTAATGGCTTTAAAGGTATGGCCCAGGAACAATCACAAAGGTCGAACCTTACCACGGGGTTAATTTCGGTTGAATGCATAAATGCATATATTTTGTTCATTAAACCGCTCCGGTGGTCTAGTGTTTAGAGCGTCTGCCTAAGATGCAGGGGGTCACGGGTGCGAATTCCGATTGAGTCATGCCAAAGATTTACTGGTTGGCCTTGTGTTAGGATAATGTGACTGAGTGGAACATGATGTTTCATGTCTGAAGCATGATTCCCCAGTGCTAGACATCACTATAAACCTCCACATTGTAGACATCGTAGCTATATGACTGAAATTTTTTAATGCTCTGTTACAAATCCAAATCATTGTCATTGAAAGTTGAACATCTTGACACGTTCAAGACCAAAAGAAAACTAATTTTTTCCCCAATTCCAGCGAATATGAGTATAGTGCATAAATGAAAACAAGGCCAGCCACTGTATATTGTGATCTCAAACTCAAAGCAAGGTAGGAAGAAAACTTACAAGGTCTACTGAACAGGCAAACACTGGTTACACCCGGGTAAAGGACCACGTAGATCCTACAATCCTTACAAACTTACAAGGTCTACTGAATAGGCAGACACTGGTTACACCCGGGTAAAGGACCACGTAGATCCTACAATCCTTACAAACTTACAAGGTCTACTGAATAGGCAGACACTGGTTACACCTGGGTAAAGGACCTCGTAGATCCTACATTCCAGGACCAAAAGTAAGAGAAACAATTAAGACGTTATCACATCAAAGCTGCAGGAAGTGATGAAATAACATCAAAAGCAAAAAAAAAAAGATGTGAGTAGAAAGATTGGTCAAAGGGCTTAGGTACATATTTATTAATGCATCGCAAGAGGTGAAAGTACCAAAAGACTGGCAAAGTGCTAGTGTTATGTCAGTCTGGAAGAATAAGGGATGCAAGAAAGACTACAGCACATATAAATGCATATACCTGCTAATTCAAGTAGATGACAAAATGTCTTCTAAAATATTAGAAACGCGAATAAGCGTAGTAATAGAATCACTACCAATTAAAGTACAATTTGTTTTGCACTGATGCAATATTTGCGTTAAGAGAACTCAATGAGGAAACCATAGAATACCAATAAGTACTCAAAGTAACATTGATCGATCAAGTAAATGATTCTGACAGAGAATAATAGATATAAGTTGCGTAAAAACTTGAGGACTATGAGATAAATGGACAGTTATTCGATATTATTTATGAAGGCGACAATAGTGTCATAATAACCAGAGTTGACCAACTGGTTTGCAATAAGAGCGAAAAGTGTGTTTATGTTCGTGTGTGTGTGTGTGTGTGTGTGTGTGTGTGTGTGTGTGTTTGATACCCCGTTTATTTATTTTCTCTGTAGATCAAATCACAAAATTAACAAATCCACGATTATAAATCCTAAATGAAACGCCGTTCGCGATGAACAAAATTAACTTCACTACAGAAAAATACCTTCAACTCCTGTTTCACGCCTGAATAAAAGTATGAAATGAAGATCAACGTAAACAAGGCATGTACAATGGCTATAAGCAGATATAATGGTTAATAAATACAAATTCAATTTAATAGCACAATGTTAAACCAAGTTAAAGAATTAAAATATCTCGGAAGGAAGTATATAGAAAGAAATCGAAACAAGAAATCAGAAAGCCTGCAAAGTCAATTTAAACAAGTAACCCTAATTCAATACACCCAAATATCCCCATGGAAACAAAAGATAGTAAATACTGAATTCCTTCCAACTTTGTGCAATCGATGCCAGTCGTGGGCGATAAATAAGAAACACGCGCAAAAAGTCACAACTTGTGATATGAGAGCCTGGAGAAAAAGGCTAAACAAAACCCTAAAGGACCGTACATGTATAAGGAACAAGACGATAAGAGACATAGCTAAAACAACACCTGTCATATACTATGTTTAGACACAAAGAATCAGACGGTTAGAACACCATATGAAAATGAATTTCCAACAATCTGCAGCTCCAGCATGCATCATAAAAATCAGTGTTTAAAGGTAAGTCCAATGAAAAATGGATAGATGGAGAAACCACAATTTGTTAACAAGCCGAGCCTCACACCAAGTTCTTAACCGGAAACTCTTCCTGGGCCGTTTGACGGCACCAGCAGTATGATAAGAAGAAGTACGCGCCATACTTGGTACACGGCTGTGTGTGGGTGATGAATTTCATTATCTCCTTGAATGCAGATAGCAGATATTCCAAAGAACAAAAGAAACTACTACCGACGAACTTATATATATATATATATATATATATATATATATATATATATATATATATATATATATATATATATATATATATATATATATATATATATATATATATATATATATATATATATATATATATATAAAATAAATGTACCTAGGTTAAAAGAAGCAATGTGTTTTGAGAAATTTGGCATTTAAGGAAATCTGTCTAAATTGATTGATATTATTTATAAAAAAATTTCCTTACTTTTCTCAATGTGGTTATTGCTCTTCAGTTTTGCTGTTGTTTTTTGTTTTTGTTTGTTTGTTTGCTTTGTTTTTATACAATTCTGTCATTATTTTTAAAAAAATATTTTAAAGGAAGAGAAAAGTACTGTAATATTTGCTTAAGATTAGTTTGTTTTCCATATTTAGTAGTTTACAACGTGTCTTCTCAAAAATGATAATGCCTATATAATTAAATATCAACATGATTTTATTCCACTGAAGAATTGACTTTGCTAATGTAGCAATGCTGTCATTCTGAGTTACACTGCATTTACTGTAAGAGAAAAAAAAATCATCCATATCTGGTGTACACGCATGCAAAATGAGATGCTAATATTTTCGTCTTATGTTGTGTATTTGTAACCTGAGTGTAATAAAGAATTTGTTTTGTTTTGCTGCTTGTAGGGGAAATATATTTGATGATTATTTTTTTAAGTCTGTTCAATATCTATCGAATTATTTTCCCGATTGTGATACAGTAAATATTTGTTTTGAATCTAAACACTGAGACCGTTTGGTATTACGAATATTGATTGCTGACCTCTCTGAAGCATCCACGAACAAACTAATACTGGGATTTAGAACAGGTTGGTGCAAAAAGTACTTTCAGTTTTTGTTTTTTTTTTCATTTGATCATAATGTACGTTACATGTGTAAAATTAACACACCAAGCCCACGTTACATGTATGGAATAAATGTGTGTGTGAGTCTGTGTGACTTAGATTTTTAACGTAGCTTCAACAAATTTTCCGTAATATCGCTACGATGTCTGCTGTGTGACCGTTTATAGTGATGTCAAGCACGACCTCCCGCATCCGAGATGGAAGCTCTAATCATTAGGCCACCGGAACGGTTTATGGAATAAATTCATGCTTAGGTTACAAGTGTGAAACTAACACTAAACTTCAGTTATATGTGTGAATTCTAAAAACTCCCGTATAAGTCATGTTCCACTTGTGAATTTAACACAAAGAGTAAGGTGCATATATGGAATGAACTGCAAGCCCATGTTCCAGGTGTGAAATAAACACAAAGCCCATCCTTGTTCGGATATATCGACAAAGATGCGTTGTCGTTACTTCATTTTTTGTGTGTGTTAATTTTCGTTTATAACACGAAATATCATTGGTTTAATTATATTTTAAACGCACTTCTAGATGCGTCAATTCACGTATAAATCATTAGTGTATTACTTTATTTACAGGGCCCCGGATATTCCATTGGTCTAAAGCACTCGACTCGGGTGGCCGATCACTGCCGTATCATCTCTATTCGCGTTGGTTCGAGTTTCGGGCGGGACCAATGAGGTTAGGCGTGCAAGCCTGCCAGCAGATGTAACGCTGATTGTTGCTTTATGAGTGTAAAATAAAGTAATATTTAAAACCCTTTCAAATAATTGTCTCGTGTAACAACTTTTTGACGACCCTTCTTTTCCTCTGATTATTAAGTTATTTTCGTAACTTTTCATATAAACATGTGACATAAAAGAATATAAATATGTACTGATATGCGTATACATTATTTTATTATATATTGTACGTAGAAGTAATACACTAATTGACTATGTTGATACAATACCGAACTGTCCATAAGACTCAATTTTTAACCCTGTGCATGTTTTATTTATTTGTTTATTTATATGTTTTATTGTTTCGATTTTGATATTCGTGCTATCGGCATAGACGCTATCGAAGCGTACCCATCGCAACTGGTATTTTCATTTCAGTATTACGATTTTTCTCCATTGAGATTATAAATTAGAAATAAATCATTACTATCATAAAACTAAACTAGCAATAGTGTACTTGTTGGAAGGTATACGGTATCAAGTGAAACGGTGTGCTGTAACGTATTTAAGATGTTGTGATTGTACTTTATCTTTTGGTTAGGTGTAACTAAGGCGATGACGAGACAGAGCCTATACCTTGAAAACTGTAGTTTTTATTTATTCCCCCAGGATCGATATACGACTGTAAATGTTCAGGTGTGAAGGCATAATGGGTATTGTTGAACATATCTTCTTCTCGATGCCATATCGTATGTAGTTCCATCATAAAATGCACCGATTACTTCCTTTGTGTGCTCTCTCTCTCTCTCTAAAGAGTAGGTGTATTATAGGTATATTTTGCATGTTCATTGCACACATGTATTTTATTTGAAGTGACAGTACAGATCCTACGATCCTGGGACTAACTAGAGTATGGGTAAGCACTTTGCATGAGGCGTGCAGGTCGTGAATCTGTACTAGCTAGATAGCGGATTTATCGTGGTGTACATGATCCTTTTTTCCCCCCATCTACAGGGAATTATGAGATTAACATAAGGAATGAAATCACAACATGGCAATATGAACGACACGCAGATAGATAATTTGATTGAGGATTAGGGGCAAATTACAGAATTTTCCGATATACTTCATTCGGGCTATAAGTAGACTGTCCATACACAATCCACGGTCATGCAATGCGTGTTTTGTACGACGAAATTGCTATTGCTGCCTTTGCAGAAAAATCGACCAAATATTTTGATGTGAGATTAACCCTTTATGGAGATTATCTTCAGAGATGACGATATTTAATGTCAGCTATCTTTGTACGAAGTAAAAGAAAATATTTGACTTCAACAAAAATTAACAACCTTTACCA